CCGTTCGAGGCTGCAAGAACGTGTCGCTCAAATACCACATCATCCCGTACCTCACGATGTTTGGCCTCCAATATGATGTCAACATGGAGCAGAATATCGGGAGTTCACCGGATACCAAGCATCTTGCACTGAAGAGTCTCTACACATATCGATGTCGACATCATCGACGACGGCCGTATCTGACGTCCTCCTTGTCGCGAAAAGACTCCGACTCCGAACCCACACATGAGCTGGTTAACCTCTGCCATAAGCTGGGCATCTGGACGGATACCGCGTGGTGCTCGACTCCTGCGGGCAGATGTTTCCGGAGGCGGGGCTACGTGTCTATGCGTGTTCCACAAGGGTCGGCGGAGGTGTGGGTGGTTTTTGATCGGCTGTGGAGGTCGAAGAACTGGATCGGCCCGGTAGACCAGGCGAACCGTCCAGCCCAGCGGGATGCGAAGCTGTGGGAACATAGTGAGACCGGCTACTACGGCGAGGCTTTGGGGACCGGAGAGAGTGGAGACCATGGAGAGGGCAAGATGTTGCCGGCACATTTGCGACGGAGCCATACACAGTTCGTTGAGAATATCCGCTGCGACAACTGCTGCGAGTTGATCCCTGAACGATGCGAGCAATGCAGTATATTGATGCACTGTGTCGGATGTCGAAAGACTCTGTGTGCTAGCTGCGCTTACGAACGGCCTTATCTGCACTGCCGGCCTCGATCGGCATCCAAGGACAGTCCATTTTGGTGGGCTCCCGGAGCTACCATGTCGCCATGTTCTATGCAAGACCCTGTCGAAGATTCCGAAAACACTACTGTAGCCAACAACGCGACTCCCTCCTATCCCGCCCTTACGTTTCATTGGTGCTGCACTGAGCCTATCTTCTCTGGCGGCGGCGGCATCAGTATTGGCACACCGAACCGCGATGTGGACCAAGTCCGAGCCGTGCCTCTGCCGCGAGGACAGGGGTGGGAGGACCTGGAGTACTCCGCGCAGGAATGGAGCAAGACGTTCCCGCGGGATGCCTACGGAGACCCTCGCAAGCCCGACTATACGCTGGAGACCGGACACATCGCCATGATGCGGTGGCTACTTGGGCCGCCCGACCGACAGCCTGCAGCTTGTCCGCGCAACCTATGCCAGGACTGCTATGACACACCTCAGTGGAAGGTACACTGCAAGAGCTGCTCGAAGCCACTGTGTATCGAGCATGATCTGCGAGGACTCCGCTTGAGAATCTGTGGGTACCGGGATCTGACGCTGGAAAAGCTGGCGATCCAGAACCACGCCGAGACCGGCTCTCGCGGGTTTGTGTCTTCGCGGATGCCCTACACAAATTCCGTGCCAGAGTTCGAGCTGCCGTATCGGACGCAGCGGATTCTCGATTCGACTACGAGCAGTTTTACCGAGGACAACCAAGAGGTCTTTCCCGAGGCGAGCAGTAGCGCGCTCGACCATCCCCGACCCACGCCTCTAGTTCATCGGCGATCGCGGAGTCTCTCCATCTCCAATTCCAACCGTTCACGCTCATCTTCGCCATCCTCGGTTTACTGCGACTCGCCGTCCGACCAGCCCAGATGGCAAGGATGTCAGTCCTTTTTCTGTCCGCAGTATCGAGCGGTCGGTGACCAGCGGCAGCGGTGCGCCAGCGTTCTCCGTGAGTGCACCAGCTGCTCGGTGTACGTATGCGAGGATTGCACCGTCGCTTTCCCCCCGTGCAACTGCTCATATTGCGAAGCCAACTACCTGTGCCCGAACTGCTTGAAGGTGCGAGAACGAGACGGGACCTGCCGCCGGCCGGCAGAAGAAAAGGCTCGTCGGGAGCGCAAATGGAAAGAGGACATGCGTCTGCTGGAGGGAATCGTGCAGGACAAGCTGGCGAATAAAATGGCAAACAAGATGGCCGAGTATGCCGGCGAGTTCTTCGACGTTATCGAGCGGGAGGAACACGGCGAGGTGCAGCATATTGAAGAAGCCTCGACGTATCCTGGACCCGTAGCTGAGGATCTAGGCGAGGAGATATTGACGGACAGTACGGAATGAAAATAAAATATGGCTGGCAGGGATCTACGGGCGTCGAGGATGGGCGGACTGATGATTATTTTCGGAGTTACTCTTTATCTGGGCCTGCAGATATAGCAGCGTGCATAGCAAATGATACTGTTCGGGTTGCCCTGATGCGCAGGGCGCTGAGGGGTCCTGTTGTCCCAGGAGGACAGAAGAGAATCTGTGGGTCATTGCTGGAGGAACTGTATGTAATAAAATAATGACATACGATATCCCACCATATCCTACTATTATCTACATTTATCATAGTGTTTGTTGTAGTCTACTAGTAGTTGCTATGATGTCTACACAATAAACGCAGTAGAAAGTTGCCCCGCACGCGGAAGCTTCCAGCCATCCAGTCAGTCCCCACCATCTGTAATTCCCTCCAATTCTCCAAACAACCTTCTTCTCTACAAATCCTTCCACAACCAAGTATGTCCCCAACTTCTCTCTGATCTAACCCCCTCATCACTAACGCAACTACAACCACAACAGCAAAATGGCCGACGAACAACCCCCCACCCCCGCCGAGCTCGCCCGCCGCGACGAGGAAGAATCCGCCCGCAAAGCCCGCGAAGCCGCCGAACAAGCCCAGCTGCCTTACAAATGGACCCAAACGATCCGGGACGTGGAGGTGACGATCCCCGTAGCATCGAACATCCGCGGTCGGGATCTAGATGTTGTTCTCACGAAGACGAAAATCCGCGTTGCGATTAAGGGACAGGAGGCTTTTATTGACGTACACCCATCCTTCCCCTCCAACTTTAACATTACTCTACAACCCTCGCTACAACACTAACCTGGTACTGGAATATTGTAGGGCGAATTCCCTCACCCCGTCATCCCCGACGAATGCTCCTGGACCCTTGAATCGACATCTAAACCGCCCGGCAAGGAAATCTCGATTCACCTGGACAAGGTGAACAAGGTGGAGTGGTGGGCGCATGTTGTGACGAGTGCGCCGAAGATCGACGTTACGAAGATTACGCCGGAGAACTCGTCGTTGAGTGAGTTGGATGGCGAGACGAGGGCGATGGTCGAGAAGATGATGTATGATCAGAGGCAGAAGGAGATGGGTGGGTTGACGAGTGATGAGCAGAAGAAGAGGGATATTTTGAAGAAGTTTCAGGAGGAACATCCTGGTTAGTATTACTACCTTTTTAGTACTTGGGTGTGGGTTGTGCTAATGTGGTGTGTGTGTTTTGCAGAGATGGATTTCTCGAATGCGCAGATTGGTTAGGTATATAGTGAGAGGTATATGAATTATGATGTTGTTGGAATTGTATGTTATGTTGGTATGCTATGCTGGTGGAATATAGCTGGCTTCCGTATTAGGACTAGTCTGGTCAGGCACTCCCGCAAGGCTGGCTGCTCTCATCGTCATATGTCATGAGTCTATTTGTCTTACTGTCTTGTTCTCTTCACTTATCCTCATCGCATGAATGCAAGCTATGTACCTCCATGGAACGTAGCAAGGATTAGCAACTTCGGTGGCTGCCATGCAGTCTGTCCTCCAGCTTCGTCCTTCACCCCGTACTTATCATCCCCGACGCCCGCATCGCAAATCCCGCGCTGGCTGCCTCGTTTGCAAGCAGCGACGGGTCAAGGTATTCGCCTTACTCTTCTGGTTAACGCCATCTCTAATCGTACTACTCTTACTTGTAGTGTGACGAGGAAAAGCCATCCTGCCACCGATGCCAGAAACTCGGGTTCGACTGCAGCTATGAGCCCGAGACAAAAAACAAAGACAGCGTCAGCGTCTTCCTTGCGAGCCCGCCCGATTCAAAAGCGTACTGCATGTCGGTGGATACCGTGACCAAGAAGATCAACGAAATACTGCAGTTGGATTCAAAAAGCGGCCCACTGCCTGTCGTGCAGGCATTGCAGCACTTCCACCATGGCCTAACGAACCCGGCGCTCGGGCCGAAAGGCGCTCAATCCGCTATGCAGGCGAAGATCATTCAGCTGGGGTTTAATGTAGGCTGGACTTCATCTTACTAAGGAGGACTGTTACTGACAGCATAGTCACCCTTTCTACTGCACACTATCATCGCGGCAGCGACTTCGCACATCCGTCATCTTGCGTCGGATGGTCGCGTCTATACCTTCACGGAAACTTACCACTGGCAGCAGGCCATTACTCAGTACTCTCGGGAAGTTACCACCATCGGCCCGAAGAACACGGATAGTCTTATCTCTGCGTGCTTGCTGTTGACTATTCGTTCCTTTGCCTTGGATGAATATGACCCGCTCAGCTCGTTTGTCTTCTCAGACGATATTGCCTCATTGAGTTGGCTGACACTGCAAGGGGGGTTACGCCATCTCATCATGGCCACGGCACAGTGGAGAGCTGGCAGCATGTGGTGGGAGGTATTCTTGAAGTCTCAAAATGAGACGGTGGATCTCTTTGAGGATGAGCGTCCTGGCCGGGTGGCTATTCATCCGGGGCTAGCTGATCTGTGTGGAATTGATGATACGACCACTGCAGAGACGAACCCGTATCATGCGCCAGCGCGGATACTGACAGGACTGCTGTCACTGGAGCGAGGAGTCCGGAGTTTTTCATCCTACACGGGATGGATGGGGAGGCTGCTACCGCAGTTCTTTGCGAAATTGATGGAAAAGGATCAACCTGCACTGATACTACTGAGTTGGTGGTTGGGTTTGATGTATGGGACGAATATGTATTGGGTAGAGACGCGAGCGAGGTCAGAGATTACAGCGATCACATGGTACCTGGGTGAGGGATGGGACGAGTTCTTGAAGTTTCCAACAGAGTGTATAGAAGACTACGAGAATGCTTGCATACCAGGTTGAGAATAAACTACAATTGATTGATGCTATCTTATCCGCTTATCGATAAAGTGATGACCAGGAGCGGGGAACTCCACCAATCAGCGATGCGGGGAACGTAGATGCCTGGATGCTGAGGCGCAGCCTCGTCGTGACTTTGACTTTCTTTCCTCGTTCACTCTCGTAGACATCACCTCTTGGTCATTTAGACAGAGACACGTAGTCTCTGCATCGCATTGACGTGCCTGGTGTCTCAATCAACCTTTGTCCACTTTGCCCCTCCAATCATCAGACACCCGTCAACACCGGAGACTACAATAGTCTGCGAACATCTACAGCAGACTGACCACCTCACTCCAACACCACAACACGCACACCTCCTCCAAACCTATACAAAGACCACAACCAGAACCAAAGACCAAGACCAGCAACAATGCTATCAACTCTCCTCGCAGCCCTCTGTCCGTGCTCCTGCTCCTGCACCAGCCCGACACCTCCCCCACCACCAAACACCACAACCACAACCACTTACAACAACCACCACCACCACCACCCCAACAGCATCCAATACCAACCCCCCCTAGAACCCACCCTCACCCTCCCAGCCTACACCCCGCACCCCAACACCGAAACCCTAAACGAAAAGACCCTCGCCCTGCACCTCCGCGACCCGCCCATCTCCTCATCCTCCTACAACAACAACAATTCCTTCCCCCTCGACGAAAAACACCCCTACACCACTACTACTACAACCACGACACCTACCTCATCCACACCACCCGACGGTATATATATAAGCAACAACGCAACAACAGCAGACGACGCCTCCTCACAAATCTCCTTCCCTAGCACAACCCACAGCTACGGAAACACCTCTACCGCGACGAGGGAGACGCCGCCCCCGCCGTATTCGCCGACATGGAGGGGTCACGCGGAGGGGGAGGTCGAGGGGGTGATTTCGCCGGTGCCATCGTTGAGTTTTTCGGGTGATGGGGAGAGGTCCAGGTCTGTGTCGGTGTCTGGGAGGAGTAGTGGGAGTTGGGGGGAGGGGGGGAGTAGTATTGCGGATGGGGATGGGGATAGGTTGGGGATTGTGGTGCCGAGGGGGGTGTATATAGCTGGTCATGGTGGTAGAGGGGTTGAGGGGAGTATTGGGGAGGAGTATTATGGGTTTGGGTATGGCGTTAGGGATGGAGATTTGGGGAGGGTAAGTTATGAGAGTGGTAGGAGTGGGAGGAGTGGTGGTGGGAGGAGGGGGTCGTGGGGTGTATAGAGGGTAATTTTTTTTGTTTCATTGTGTTATCTGGAGGAATGGTTAAACTTGGCTTTGCTTGGGATGGAGTTGGTATTGGGATGTATATACGCCTTATGAGGCTTAATGTGGTGTGATATTTAATATACACGTATATGCAATATCAAAGGCTAGTATCGATAGTCAAGTATAATTTCCTGCCATCTAACTATCTCACTCATCAACCCCAGGTTGATATTTAACATCCCCAATACAAAACGTGTATATACACAAAAATAGAAGAGAAAAGAACAATGTCTCACCACTTCCACCTTAAGAGCTCTGGTAAGTGACCTTCAACTCAGAGTCACTAACAACACTAGGCACAGCCTGGACATGGTCACTAGTGCTATCCTCCACAGCCATCAAAGACGAGCCATCAAGACCAATAGTCTTTCCACCAGCCTTAGCAACACAGCCGGTAAAAGTAGCCTCACCGAAGTTAATGAAGGTCAGACCGTCACCATCAATAGCCAAGTCCTCAACGATCCATTCAGCAGTCTGACCGACCAGAGTCGACGAGCTATCCGGGGCCGAAGCAGTGGAAGTAACGTTCTTGCCGGTAGTCAAGTTCTCAATCAGGGCAGTACCCTCGCTGCTGGAGGTCGACTCGACCGAGACAACAATCACATCACCGATGCTGAAATCCATGTCAAGACCGACAGTGTCAGCAGGGTACCACTCCGACCAGCCGAGGAAGGTGGTCTCGCCGTTCTGGACGTAGATGTCGACACCGGCCTGCCAGATCTGATTCTGGCCGGTGGCGCCGTCAATGCCGACCCAGAACGAGACGGCCTGGTCATCCGAGGAGGAAGATGCCGCGGTGGGGGTTACGCTGGGGAGGGTGAAGGTGGCGGCCACATAGGTGAAGGTAGCGCTGCCGCTGGTTTCCTGGACAGCACCGGCCCAATTCTCGTTGACTTCGTAGTTGTCCGACGAGGTGGAGCTGCTCTTGTGGTTGGTGCTGACTGCGGAGGTCACGGCAGGAGCGACCTGGCTGACGGCGCTGGGCTGAGGGGTGAATTGCGCTTGTGGAGCGGCTTGGGTTTGGTAGCCGTTGTTGCTGGGCTGGATGCTTGGCTGGGGACCAGCCTGGCCTTGACCTTGGCCTTGTCCAAAGGCATTGAAACCCTGGTTGCCGGCGCCGGGGAAGTTTTGGTTGGACTCAAATTGGTGACGGACGTGACCGTGGGGACCGGCCAGGGCGGGAGCAGCCAGGAGGGCTGTCAGAGCCAGAGTAGAGGTGAACTTCATATTAATGGTGGTGAGACAAAGGAAATGTATGTAAAAGAATGAACTGAGCACTGCTCGGGTGATAGTAAGACTAGCTATACAGATACCGGCTCTGGGCTGATATGACAGAAAGAGATGTAGGGAGATACTGAGGATTTATAGTCAACTGCATCATGGTTGACTGTACAGTTGGACCATCGATAGCTGTTAGTGGATCAAACTTGAAACGTGGTGCCGCGACTGGTGGAGTCAGCGGAGATTGACGTTTGTTATAGATGAGCATCAGTGTTTCAGGGTGGAGGTTGCAAGCGCATTCGGCAGTGATGTGCGATCGGGCCACTGCTAGCTTTGTAGGGCAATAGCTTAATAGATCAAAGCTCCAAGGGGTTCTTGGCTGTTGTTTAATCACCATTCGGCTTGGATAGGTGGAGACATCTCGTCGGGGTAAATGCCAGAAGGGGTGAATTGTGAATCAGGGGTAACAGTTTGGCTTTAGATTCTTCCCTCTGCCCTATATAGCGGATAATCTATTCTGCATCAAGCCATAATCAGTACTCATGGGGTTCAAAGTGGTTGGTCCGATTGCACGCAAGCAGGCAGATCAATCAGCAATTGCAGGCATCAGGAGCAATGGCTCGGCAGTCTAGATCTTCTACTCCTGAACGTGACATAGACGACATAAATTGCAAGATCATTTGTTAGGGGGGTTACCTCAGTAGTGTTGACCAGGATTTAGCTAAGCCCCGAATGATTAGATCGTCATGTAACCTGTGTCTGAGGTTATTCTGATGCCTTCTAAGTGGACCCTTTGCGTGATTGGCTCCATTTAGTTCGGCATTTTTGAGTCCGCTTACATAAATCATGAGGATAGTGCTTGAAGGTAGCATGGTATTTCCAACATAGAATCACTGGTAGATTGGGCACACTGCTGAAGGGGATATCGATTTACTGCCTTGAATGCACAGGCACCGTCAGTGCCTTGGCCGATGGACCATGGTCGTCTTTAGAGTCGCCAAATGACGCCCAAGACCATAGTAAGGTATACTTGCTTGAAAATTCAAGCGACGGCCGCATAGATATTTAATTTGCGAAGGCATTCTGTGATTACTCGGGGTGATTACCTATTTTGGTGAATCAATGAGAGTCTACACTACAAGCAGCATGAAACTCATCATTCAAGCACAAACCAGCAGTTCTGGAATTCCTGGTAGGAATCTGCCAACGTCACGGATATACTCCCATCATTGGCAGCAATGGCTTGTTTCGAGATACCTGAGATGTACGGATTATGACGGTTTGTGGCATCAGATACCACTTACACGAAGATCTGCCCGCACATGGCTGGTATACCGACGAGGACATCCAAAGTACAATCAATCAGCATGAAGCTGTCGTATCGGCCATTCCCGCAGTGTCGAGTTTCTTCCTGGATTCTCACTGCCGCAAAGTTCTTCGGGACTAGAGCTTCACCTCGTTGATAGAATCCTCTGGAGATTTACCACAATTGCAGTCTCCATAATGGAACACATATGGAGAGCGCGGTGTCTCACTCTGTCACCCCAATGGTCTGACGGCGCCATCCCATCTCAGTTTGACGATCGCTCCGATATGGAGCAATCCGACTTGAAACTGATCGGAAACACATTCCTCCGGGTTCAGTCAATGGTCGTTAACCTTATTGAGCAATAGCCTGGTAGTTGTAGAGGTATTTTCAGAGTCCCTAGATAGAAATGTCGCGTAGTTGAGCAAGAAGACATGACCAGCCTAGAAGGCTGTCTGGGGGAGTTGGAGAGAGTGGAAGTTGATGAAAGAAGCGCGACGCGTGATCAGGCTGCAATACCTTTGTGCCTGAGGAATAAAGTCACACGTGTGTATTGGACCGATTGGGAAGCCCATCGCAGAGAATGAATGAACGACCACATGATCATCTTTCCCTTTACTCATTCAACAGGTCCACATCTCGCCATTTTGACAGCCTATAGATTGTCACATCATACAAAAGTATTGGCTGTGTTCATGACTCGCCGTGGGTGAATCATGATTTAAGCCTGCGGGGCAATCAACCGGCGACCCGTAGCGACGATCGCTCTACGGCAACCATCGAGCCATATCCCTTCTTGTGAGTATCATAACACGCTGCTATGTCTAACAACTTATTCTGACGAGATAATTCAGTCTGTGATGCAGCACAATTTACATAAAAATGGATTCGAAAGTCACTCTGGGCAGCATTCAGAAAGCCGTCTGGGCCGGAAAGCTACCCTTACAAATCACATTGGCTCTATCAGAGAGCCGTACATTTGACCAAACAGATCCATATCTAGTACGTCCTCTTTTAGTACCTAATGAACTCAGAGCTAACTCACTCAGATCTCCTGTCCCCGCATATCATACTTACCATCGCTTCTCCCAAGGCTGAGAGCTTTCTTCGCCCCCTCTTTAATCGATCCCGGCTCCCGCCCGCACGAAGGCTGGTTCTCCTTCGAGGGCGTTCCGTTGAAATGGCACTACCCAGTTGGCCTCCTTTATGACCTTTATGCTGGAGCTGATCCTGCCTCTAAAGGAGGTACTGACACTGACTTGTCATCTGCATCGGATGAAGACCCGTTACCATGGCGTCTAGTCGTGCATTTCAGCGACTGGCCCGATGAAGAACTCGTCCGACTTGATGCGGATGGAATAGTGATGCACGATGCTTTCATCAATAGTGTCAAAGAGGCAGATTTCCTGAGGAACGGTACCGCCAAAGGAATTATGACCCTTTCCAGGGAGGATTCTGCGGGACTATGGGAGTCAGTCAGAGATGGTACGTTAATCCAGTTGTCGCTTACATGAACATGACAGCAAGATCAAAGTGCTAAACATACATCCAGTGGACCTGCTAAACTTCCAGCGAATATCCAACATTCTCCTACCACCACAGTCACAACCGTTCCGCAACATTCCTGTCCGATTCTTTCTCCCCCTCCCTCCAGACTCAGACTCGCCCTCTCTCAAAGTAGTCCAGTCTCCTATCCCACCGACAATCCAACCAATCTCCGGACCCAGCGCCAGTGTCCTGGCGAGCCAATCCATCTTAAGTACATCCAGGGGCCCTCAACCACAGACCATAGGGTCAGCACTGCACTCACTACTGCCGCATCTCTTTCCCAGTCGAAGAACACCTGTCCTGGCGAAACCAGTATTGCATGGTGCCGCGGTGCCAATGAGCGCACCGCTAGACGAAGTGGTGAGAAGTTCGGGGTATGGCGATGGGTGGCTTTACATCGTGATCAGAATGATGGGGTAGGCAAGTGGTGCGCCGTAACTAGCCCGGCACTGCTGTTAGATAGCGTTGATATTTTCTAATTTCTAACTTCACTTCAATATACCGCGGAATTCACCCAACAATTTGCCTGGACTCTCGCGCTTTTGTGCGAATTTATTGAGCAGGGCGACATTGGAAACTATGATCAAGAGACATAGCCCTTCTCGCCTCTTTCATCACGAAGAATCATAGCACCATTGTGCAATAGTAACCGGAAAGCCTCAAGTAATTTCCAAAGCCGAGTCACGAGCAACTACCCAACAACCTATTTACCCAACCCACCTTTCCCAACCAGACCCCTCCAAATTAACCTCCGATAAATACTCTATAGAAGTAGTAAACAAATTCTCGCACTCCCCATAATTAACAAAACCCTAATTTACCCCCCTTCCCCAACCCCTTAATTAACATCTCATTCAATCCCCTAATTAAGACAAAGCTAATTAACCACAGAGCAGAAAAAAAAAGAAATAACAACAATAACAATTCAAAAAATTGACTCCCTGGTCATAATTCCTTTTTTTTCTTTTTCTTCCCCCGTCACCAACCCCAGCCCATCACAATCTCATCACACCAGCTGGAAACATGATTGGTGGATTTGCTTATGTTGTCCGAAAAAAAGCGGGGTTAGGGTCAATCACGATTAAGTATCAACTAACTAACTACATACTACGGAGTATACTACTACCTAACCGTCCCTGTCTCACTTTGACTGGAGATAGTACAGTGGACCTAGGCCTAGTAGTTATCTACCTACCTGAATAGGTCAAGGGTAGATATGTACCTTGCTCTAAAGAGATTTGACTGCATATGAGGTGGTAGAGATACGTGGAGCGGGGTACTACTAGTTGATTGTCACATTTCAGTTCAGTTTCTCTCCCCTCCCCTCATTTTTCTGGCGCTTAGGTTCTGGCTGCGGTTGATAGATAGATATAGGTTGAATAATGTGTTCGATGTGTTGGGAGGAAGAGCTGAAAGAGCTGAAAGAGGGGAAAGGAGTGAGTGAGTGGGTGGGTGAGTGGGTAATGAAGGTGGTTCTCTCTCCCTCTCCCCTGTTTGCCTTATGCTGGTTGATTTTGAAAAAGTCTAGACTCTATTAGGTGGTGGTGGTGGTGTTTGGGGATGGAGAAGGAGGAGGTGCGTAGGTACTAGTAGTACTATGCGCATGCGCTGCGGTTTCTGGTTCGTCTAGCTACTACTAGTAGAATTATGAATCTGTAGGACACTCTCTTATAACTTGTTACTATTGCTTATACATACGAATTGAGAACTATATTTTATCCTAAAGTAATAGTATAACACTCAGAATAACCATACTACATTGCTCAAGAACGATAGATTCCCACTTCTTGGGCATACACTCACGCGCGCACACACACACACACACACAGTGTACGTAACG